CATGTCTTCTGATTGATTGCTGTGCCGTTATTTTAATTATTCACTCCAGCCAGGCAAATACATAATAATGTGACAAAAAACATTTTGAAGAAAAGATAAATGCTCTTTATTTGCTGTCTACAAACTGAAATAAACATAGCCATTCTAAGGATTCAAACTTTAATTTTTCCACTGAAGTGTACAGTGAAAACCTTTCTGTTCCCAGCCCACAAGAAATTCATCCAAACTATATTTTGAATAGCTCTGTTGTTGCATACTTCATGATAAATAAGTGACAAACTTTGGTAGCAAAACTCTGCACGAAATAGTTCTCGAATTTTAATACAATTATTATGAAAATAACCTTTGGTAATATTAGTAATTGCAGTCATTGCTATGGTTACATTGGAAATTCAGTATATAAATTATAACTTGTACAATTCAAAAATGGTATATTTTTAATGTCGTCTGAATAAATGGCTGCATAGAATTACACAGAATTATATCAAGTGATACGAGCTGTAGCTTCCAGCTGTGAGTTCCACATTCTCACCACCCTCTACATATGGAAATCCACCACAAACTCCCTATTAGATCTGCTACTGGCTAGCTTACATTTATGCTCTCTAGTTTTTGGCTCAACCTATCAACGTCCACCCGAATTAATCCTTTCAGAATCTTAAACACCTCTTTTAAGTTCCGTCTCAATTGCCTTATCTCCATAGTGAAAAGTTCCATATGGATGTAAAACATACTAGATTACAATATGTAATTCAGGTATTAAATGCCATAACTCCTAACTGTGTAGGATTTTCAGATATGGGATTGGTAAGGAAGCTTCTACATCTTTTATGGAAAATAAGAGGATTGCTGGGAGACATTTGTAATGTACCTGACAGCTATACTGTAGTAAGAATAATCCTTGCAACTGATATAGTCCCTAATCCCATAGTTGAAATGTCTCAAAGCATTTCGCAGGATTTACTGTAAGCTGCAGACACTGTGTATTTGTAAGTGAATGTTTGAAGTGTATTACAAGTGGAGAGGTCAGTAACACCTTTCAGAAAGGGGAAACATGCTTGAATATTTTCATGCAGGAAGTTAACTATATCCACAAATGAAGGGGCAGATATGATATGAGGACAGTAAACCAGAAAAACTGGCAGCAGCCTTGCTGAGGTTGGCAACAAAGATTTATGCACGTGGATATTTGTAGCAGGTTGTAAGAAGCTGTTCTCAGAACTGCATGTTCTTGCAGGCAGACATGGAGATGTTGGTGGTGGCTTTGCACACAGTGAGGACAAAAACAGAAAGTTCTTGTGAACAAGAACAATTGATGCAGAGAGATTGATGAGGGCCTCAACAACAACAACCTGTATTGATATAAAACACTTAATATAGAATAACGTCTCGGAGCCCTTCCCAGTGGCGGGGTTAGACACTGAGCAAGCAAGAATGGGCAGGGGAAGGTAATCACAGGTGCAGTCAAACAGGTAGATTTTAAGATGAGTATTGAGATGGGTCTTGAAGGAGGCAAGGGAGGGGGCGAGGTGAAGGGACTGCAGGATGGAGTTCCAGAGGGTGGGGGCAGAGTGGCTTAAGGCTCTCCCATCAATGGAGGGGCGGGCGAGGCGGGGAACATGAAGCAGGCCGGAACCCGCTGAGCGGAGGGAGCGAGCAGGTTAGTAGGGGATTAGAAGGTCGCAGAGGTAGGGGGCAGCAGGGCTATGGAGGGCTTTGAGGTGAGAACCAGGATCTTGAACTGTATCCTCTTTGTGATGGGAAGCCATTGGAGTCAGAGAGGATGGGGGTGATAGGGTCACGGAGCCTGGTGCGGAAGAGGACATGGGCTGCAGAGTTCTGGATGATCTGCAGCCTATGGAGGGAGGAGTTGGGGAGGCCGACAAGCAGGGAGTTTGCATGGTCAAGCCTGGATGTTATAAATGTGTGTATGAGGGTTTCGGCGGCCTGCGGTGTGAGACAGTGGCTGAGCCGGGTGATGTTGTGGAGGTGGGGGAAGGCAGAGCGGGTCATGGCACAGATGCGGGGTAGAAAGGATAGTTGAGGGCTGAACAAGACGGCAAGGTTCCGATCTGGCTTAGTAAGGTGGAGTGTGCATCCCATGGATGGTGATGCTGTCAGCGCCTGAGGTGAGGAGGCGCTGACGGGAGCCAATCAGGAAGACCTCGATCTTGTTGACGTTCAACTGAAGAAAGTTAGCTCTTATCCAGGACTTGATGTCTGACAGACATTTTGAAGACCTTGAAGTTGACACGTTGGGAGACAGGGAGTCAGTGGAGCCTGGTGAAGATTGGAGTGATGGACGTGCAGAGGTTCGTGACCTCATTGCAGCAACAGGCACATAGATTGGTGCCATTTGTGGCAGCAGGGCTAAGAAAGGCAGGCGACGTCCTTGTGGACGCTTGATTGACGATACAGGCTGACAGAAGTCATCAAGAGAATACGTACTCATGAAAACCAGAAACATCCAAGAATTTTCAGCACATCTTTATATAAATCATGTACCAGCTGCCATTTAACTACATGATGGGGTTCATAAAATGCAAGTTTTCCAGTACTGTTTTTGAAGGATTACAATTTCAAAAGAACAGACCAGAAAAGAGAGCAATGCACATACGTGACTAAATGTGCACACATATTTACCATACTCCAAAGACAAGTCAGCAGTTTCTGTTTACAGCTGCACTATAGGTGTACGATAGGTCAAAGTGAAATGTAAAAACAATGGACCTTCTTCTACTCTTGCAGCTAACTGTCAGAGACCACAAAAATTTGTCGTGCATACGCCTCTGCCACATGCAGTCGACTGAGGAATGGGGAAGCTGCGCAGTAAGTGGGTGCTCTCAGGAATGTTTCGCCTGTTTTTTCTTGTTTGGAATTGGTGCCTCAGTGATGAACCTGGAAGAGGACGGATTCCTTTTTTTAAAAAAATGTTCTCGGTTCTGATTGGAGTTTGACACCAGAATAATCTCTGGAATAGTTTGCCCTGAAACGAGGTCCATTGGGATATTGGCTTTATAAACATGGTTAGAAAATCCGAGTGTGTCTTTTCCCTTTCGGCGAGCAACTGGATAAGGTACAAGAAAGCCACCACCATCTTAATCAAAATTAAATTGCTGCACTCATGATGTTAGTAAGTGACATCTTAGCTAACCTCACATGTTAGTTGATTTCTCCTGTGCATTATATATGCTGATGCATACACAAAGTGTGAATGTTTTTGGATCTGTGCTTCTCTGGGATCTGTGCTTCATGGCACACCAGAGCCTGTATTATTTAAACAGTAAATGGAAGTCTGAGTCACACAAGGTTTTGTTAGAATATGATATATGTATTGAAACGCTTTAAGGCAGAGCTGCATAAAATTGTAAACATTAAGTTGTTAATCTTGTTTATATGAATCAAAATGGCGGATAACACCATTTTGTACTCAAAGCATTGCTCAACACCTGTTAATAACATAAGTTGTTTTTGTCTGATTAAAAAGAAGTGGTCAATATGAAATGTTGAAGTAAGACAACCATTGGCCTTGGGAGGATACAAGCTGTTCTGTAGTCAAAACGCCCGGTTCTTGGGATAAACAGAAATAACAGCGCGCTTGACTCTTTGCGCAGTTGTGAAAGGCCTACATGCCTGATAATTGATTGGATGAACAAAAAGGTATAAAGTTGAAAAGTTGTTGACATAAAGCGGCAGAGTCGGCAGGGAACCAGGCACACAGAGGCGGAACCAAAGCACGCTGACTGCTCCAGTATATGTTTTATGTATTTTTGCTGTGCTTATATTTGAATAAACTGATTTAGCCACAAAACTTTATTGTCTGGTCTTTTGACTTGAACACTGGGAGTTGAGATCCCAACAGTTTCTCAACCTTGATGGTATTTAATCTTACTCATACTGGGTTTTAATTTTAAAATCAACAGTGTGAACTCATCTGGATTTAGAAGTGATCTGGATAACTCATCTGGTTCAGAAGTGATCTAGATAACTTCCTGGGCTGAAATAACCATAATTTCACAAAATTTACACAGAACCGATACTTCATAATGTATTTTCCAGTGTATGTATAACTCTCCTTGAGAAGGTGGGTCCCCAGCACTCCAGGGCACTGCTGATGACAGCACAGTCAGACTAGTTCATCGGCAGGACTTGGAAGGACACTAGGGGTAGGGACTCTTCCCACTCAGCTTCTGTTAACCCTGTAAGCCAAAGCCGGTAGTTCTAAGTCAACTAACAGTAGAAAGCTTGCCAGACAGTGATATCAATGGCAAGCTATGCAGTTTTAGCTGGTTAAACTCCAGCATTACCTCCACATAAACTCTGGGGTCCTGAAGCCTTGGCTCTTTCCAATCTGCGCATTCTCAAATGCACTCTTCACAGTTCACTCTTCACTGGTCTCCCCATTTCCAACCTTCACAAGGTCCAGCTAATCCCAAACTCAGTGGCCATGGGTGGCTGAGACTTCAGTCATTATGCCCCCAACCTCTGGAACTCCCTGCCTCTATCTTTCTGCTTCAGCCCTCTTTATCTTTAAATTTCAGCTTAAAACAGTGGCACAAGAAGGTTGCAGGGTTCCTGGTGCAGTAGGTTAGGGGCTCTCTTTTTGATTCCGAAATCTAAAATTGTGCTTTACCTTTACCTCTCTGTCTCCTCGTGTTCTCTCTCCTCCCAGTGAAACACATGTATGATGTGGCTGTATCGAAATGGCCATCTCCCCACCCTGCCACCCCACCCCAGCTCAATGTTCATCTCTACCACTGTGAAGCGTCTGAGCCCCCTATATAAATCCAACTTGTTGTTGTTGTTGAACTCCATGGAATTAGGTAAGCAGAATGCACCCCTCTAGGGAGAGAGTGCACGTTCCATTCCAGACACAGTGAAATTTCCATGTGTAGGAAGAATACACATGTGGAATTCTCAGTCCGGTTTGGATACTCTTAAGCATGGTGATGCATTTCTGCATGTGTCAGATACCCAGCTGAACAAACCATTTTTTGCAGTATATTCACAAATTTTATTGTCACATTTCTGCTGTTTCTGGTGTCCTGTAAAGGTGTACCATAATATGACCATTATGCTGTATATAAAATGATGTTTAGTTTGGCTTATTCAAGTAAAAAAAACGTATCATTCATAGACATAAGCACATAAGAAAAAAATGAATGATGGGTGACAGATGGTCAGGGACATTTCTGCAGTATACGATTTGTAATATTTTTCACAGCTAATATGGTCTCTGTACATGTTGGCTTAATTAAAGATTCTGGCAGCAAAAATCCATAATATCCAGTATCTCGCAATTCAAATGCAAATGCGTAGGGAATGCCATGCTTGTAGGCCCAGTCAATAGAACTACCAGAACTGATATCTGAAAGGGAAGAGGGAAGTCTATTAAACCTTAATAAATGGTACTGGAAGGAATTTAACATGCACTGAGTTACCATAGCAAAATGTTTTTTAATAATATGTTCATTCTGGTTTGCCATCATATAAATATTCTTAAATACTAAGGTTACTTCAAACAAAAAATACAGGTTATAATTATAATAATCTTTGCATTTGATATAGCACCTTTCACTTCACCAGGATGTCTCAAAACGTGCTTCAAAGGATTCACTGTAAAGTATAGTGACTCTGTTTTGTAGGTGAACGAGGCAGCCAATTTTGTACGTAGATGTGAAAGGAGTGACCATTTTATCAGGGAGATTTTTGACCAGCATACCGGGAAAAACTCCCTTCTCTTTACGACTAGTCTCGTGGGATCTTTAACAAACACCTGAACAGGCAGATGGAGCCTCGGTTTTAACATCTCATCCGAAGGACGGCAAGTCTAACAATGCATTACATCCCCAGAACTGAAGCTGAGTGTCAGCAAAACTATATGAGTTCCAAGTCCTTTGGTGGAGTCTTGAACCCAGAGCCTTCTGATGCAGACCAACTAAGCTACCGACTAAACCAGACTAGAATTATACTGGAAAATCAGAGCAGGTAAATCAATGAGCGCTCTGATGAAGGATCCAAAACCTTAGCCTTATTTTTTCATTTACAGTTGCTGGTTCATTTGCTGCACATTTTCGACATTCCAAAGTCTCCTCCGAGCATACTCCTCGGCTCTCCCCTTCTGCTTGGCTAAACCGCCAAATATTAGATGTGCTGCACTTTGATTCAAGACATAATGCAAACTTTGCTGAACCCCAAATAAAAAGTTTTTTTTGAAAAACATTGTAAAATGTACTCTTAACAATTTCATATAAATTTTTTTGTAAGTCATGATATTGCTAACACTTTGCAAGTGATGAAGAAATTGAAGAATTTAAGAGCTCTGAGACACTACCCTGTGTGGAGGGCAAATTGTTACTGTTGTTGTTGTGACTATAACCCCTCACCCCCACCTGTTCCCAGAAATAATGCCTTTCTTGGTATCTGTACAACATTATATGGCACACTCTTTTCTGGCACTGAAAGAAATGCTTACAACTTTCCAGCATAACTTTTGCTACATACATTTCATACTGTTAATATTTGTTATACAACTGATAACCACGTTTGGGTCTGTCCTTCTAAAGTAATATTAGAGAACTGAATTTGAGAAACCCAAAGATTTTGGGATCTAAAAAAAAAACTTACATAAAGTACTGGATGCAGGTCCATGTTTGTATTTGATACCATAGGCTGAATAAAGAGCTTTGACAGCATTGTATGCTGCAGATTCCTGAAACAAAACAAAAAGTATAGTATGTTACTTCTAATAATAATCCTTAAGAATAATTGCATCTGTTATAGCTCCTTAACATGTTGAAATGTTGCAGAATATTTCACAGAATTTCCTATAAAGTTGTAAAGTGTAGTCATTGTGTATTTAAAAGACAAATGCAACAGCAATGTTCCACCATTAAGTGCATCACCAATTTTATCTGGGTGGATTGTTGGCTAGCATACCGGGAGAAACTCCCTTCTTTTTTCAAACAGTGCTATGGGAACTTTAATGTCCACCTAAAGAGGCAGGGTGGGCTTGAAGCTCACCTGCAGAACAGGACCTCTGACAATGCAGCGCCCTCAGAGCACTGTGTCAGCCTGGACATGAGTTTCACGCTTACAACAACAACAAATTACACTTGTATAGCGCCTTTCACATTGGAAGGACGTCCCAAGACGCTGCTTATTTTAGCAAATGCAAATTGTGCTCCTCAGGAGGACTCAGAAGTCTTGATCTTTAAAATCAATACTCATAGGACAGACACTTTTGAAACACACCACACACAGTGCTGCAACTCTCCATTGCCAAGGATAAAGGTTGGATAGTCACAGAATCTGAAAATGGTTTCAGCCGGATGTCGTTGATTTCAAAGAAGGCATGAATCTAGATCACCTTTCTGTCTCTAATAGCTACTGTTACCTGTATCGAAAATAACGTAAAAGGTAAAATAACAGTTCGGGACATATGTGCACGCGATGACCGGGAGGTAGAAGGTGAACTGGAGGGACCTTGGTCTTTTTTTCATCTAGCATTTCTAATGTTCTTATGACAGTAAGAAGCCAAAAATTAAAAGATTATGATTGTTGCCTGTAGCTTATTTCATGTGGATAATACTGTATGCAGGTTAAAGACCATGAAAACAGAAATCTTGTAAAGTTTATAATAGTAATAATTCTTGCATTTGATATAGCGCCTCATCCCGTAATTGAGAAGTCTCAAAGCGCTTCACAGAATATATTGTAAAGTGAACTGATTTTGTGAGCAAAATGCAGCAGCCAATTGCACACAGCAGTGCCCCACAAATGGTCGTGCATTGACTGACCAAATTATTATTATATATATATATATATATAGAGAGAGAGAGATTTTTGAAAGGATTATTGCCCTGGAAAGCATTCCGCCAATCAACTTAACAACCAGGTTCCTAATTACTGCAAGGTAAATAGGCATGTAGAATATGAAAGTTTGCCTAAAGTTTTGCCTTGCCGAAGACTTGAACCTGTGTTCTCTCTACAGAACAACTGTGCTGTCTAAATTGATTGATATGATTGATTGATGAGAGGCGACCGTAAGCACGATCGAAAAGGAAGGCCTTAAGGCGGGACTTGAAAAAGGGGAATGAGGGGGCAAGGCAGAGGAATTGAGGGAGAGGATTCCAAAGTTTCAGGATGTACGTTCAGACAAGGGGCCTGAACCCACAAACTTCTGACTCAGTAGCAAGAGTGCTGCAAACCCTGTCAGGCTGACTCTTATATGATCAATGAGTTCAAAGTCTCAGGCTAACTTGGTTGTTCTACTTACCACACACTTGAAATTGGGAATGACTGCATATTTATAGGAGTATGGATACAGCAACATCTGTGAATATGCATGGAATGAAATATATGCTTTAATTCGTTTCTTGTGTTTACGAAGGAAGTCCGCAACAGCTTTTACTTCGGGCTCAGATTCTGGCAAAGGCCCACAGTACGTGTCAGCACACGGATGCAGGGACGCACCTTCACCTAAATAGTGATAAAAATTTTTATAAATATGAACTGCAGGGAGATGCATAAGAGGGAGTGCTTACTCTTACTGAAGAGATGTTAACAAGGTTATAAGCTTTGAAGATGATGCACAAGGGTATTAAAATTGTGGTTTGAATTCTTAAATAACATTACAGCTGAGATGCCAATTATTTTCAATCATTTATACCATGGAGTGTGAGATCGCAGCTTTATCGGTCCTCAGGACCCTGGTTTTGTTTTGCTGATGGCAGGTGTTTCCGCAGTAGATAATGATAGCCAGAATGCTTCGTGTAGGAACTGAGCCTTTGGAGAGTGTCCAACCTCCAGCTTGTGACATTAAAGACTGGAAATTAGGATCCTACACCTCACACTGCTTCCTGAACAGCTCTACCTTGAAGATAACCAGAATAAACCTGGCCCCAGGTTAATTGTAATACTTGGATTTCCCCAACATTTTATAAACTTTCAAAGATAGTGATTGGATTCAAAGCGCTCCGAGATGCTGCTCAGCCTGAAGGGCACTATATGCCTGCAAGTTGTTGTTTTTGATGAGTTAATGAGCTCATTTGGGGAGAATACATTAAAACTGTTTTTCCACAGTTATAGTAATAATAATCCTGGCATTTGATACAGCGCCTTATCAAGTCATTGAGATGTATCAAAACGCTTCACAGAATCTACAGTAAAGTGAATTGACTTAAAAAGAATCTTATTTGCAACTGTCACTGACTAGGCTTACATGTGAGGAAGGACTACTTGGTTGAGGTACCAAAGGTCGTTGGATGCTACATTTGGCCATAGCAAGAGTCCCCCCCCCCCCCCCCCCCCCACCCGTCTTTAGGAGAGAAGCAAAGAATTCCGGCAAATAGTTATTTTTAAGATACTTTTCAATTTGAATGATCATCAGTTACAACCCATTAGTCTTCAGTCGTGATCTAAAAGAGAGGAAGGAGGGAACAAGATGGAGGGATTAAGAGAGAGTTTCAAAGCTTCGGGGCACAGTTGCTGAAAGTGTGGCCGTTGATGGTGGAGCGGAGGGGATGAGGTGCAAACAGGATAGAGGCTAAACCAAAGTTGTGCAGTTGAGCCTGCATATGTCACAAATTCACCACTTCAGCAACAAATATTTGGGGTATAAATTTGAAGTTCAACGTTTATACAGTTAAAACGAATGGAGACGAATAGTGTTCTGTTTTTACATACTGCACCACTTGACATTCCAATTACGATTGGCATCAACTCCATGACAGCTGAGGTTGGTATGGTTAGAACGAGTCTTTCTCCAGAACCGATCCTGAAGAGGAAGCAAAAAAATTGTCTTTTTTTTAAAAAAACACTTATATTTATCAGAATTCCGATTCGTAAAGGAAAGCTCCACTCCAATTGTAATCTTGGCAGAAGCGAGAAGTTACTTACTGTCATGCTGAGTATTGTTGTATTTAATTGTATTGCAAACTAGTTTCTCCGGAGTTTCAGTGCTGAGGACAGCAACAACTTGCACTTATATAACGCCCTCCACCCAGGGTAATGTCTCAGAGCACTTAACAGTGGCGGAGGTGGGAGATGTCTATAAGCACGGTCGAAGAGAACATGTGGCCTCTTTTGTCTCACTAATTTTCTCTTCCAGTTTACTTGCCTCAAGTTTTTTCCTAAAGGCATTTTTCTTTCTATTGATCTATGAATCCACAGATGCTGGCAGGACTCTGGTACCTCACCCAAATGTTTGTTATCATGGGTAATCCTTGATTTTTCTTGAGTCCCACCAGGGATTAGCAGTGGTATCACCACCAAGCCTTACAATGTCCACACATGTGCACTTCCACCAGGGATTGATGGACAGTAATCCGAAACAGGAACCCTGACTAATTTCCCACTGATCTTTCCCTCCCTGACCCAGGACACTGAAAGCTATTCCTCTTGCACTGCTGGTGTCCCGGTTGAGATTAACTGACTCATAACAAAGCAGGGTATGTTCCTTGTCTGTACAACTCAATTATTCATTAAAGGAACCTGCTGAGCCATCATGGAAACCGCATATGGTCATTTTTAAAAATTCAGTTGTGCATCCAGTAAGTTTCTTTACACGCCTTCCTGTTTAGATCCAATATACATGACGTTTATTGGATCTTAAAATGCATTGACACATCTAATTATAAAGGCATAAGCCTGCAAGTTGCAAGTAATTTCTTTAAAACAAAACAATATCGTTCAAGTGACCTTTGGTGGATTTGCTTAAGAAATAAATACATACGATTTACTTACCGTTGTCCAACTATAATGGTAGCCATCTACATTAAACACAGGCATGATGTAGAAATACAATTGGTTTAGAAGCCTTCTCATCATGGGATCACTGTGGTACGTCTGAACAGCCTAACAGGGAAGAGACTTCACTTTAAACATTGCAATTGTAACTTGTAACAAACTGTACTTTTCGTATCTGAAGAGGTATCTGAATTTACTGCCACATTAGGGCTTATCTTTTACATATATGTTGTAGTCTATTAAACTTGGGATGTCCACCTGATGTGAAAAACACTATGTCAATGTAAATTTGTGCAATTTGGCTTCTCAACAGATGTTTGAATCCTAATCCTAATTGTAACAAAAAGAGATAACTTTATTCTTAACTTTATACTTAACGGAGGCTCTCAATCACCTCGTATTGCTCTGCTTTATTCTTTCAAACAGCTAAATAGAGGGAGCCCAGATGTGGCCGTTTTGTTTTTAAATTATCCTTCTGTGATATCATGAAGTTCTTGTTCAGTGTCGTCATGAATGAGTACAACAGGCAAGTGGGCATTGTTTTTCACATATCATTGTTATAAATAAAAATAATAATCCTTGCATTTGATATAGCTCCTTATCACATCTTCGAGGCATCTCAAAGTGGTCACAGAATATTCTGTAAAGTGAATTGACTATATTTTGTGGGTGAAACACGGCAGCCAATTGCACACCGCAATGTCCCACAAACAGTCGTGGAGTCAGTAACCACATTTTCTTTTATTTATATAGGGATTATTACCTCAGGAAAAGTGATCCGCTATTCAACTAATATCTGGGTTCCTACTTACTGCTCGGTAAACAGAGATGTGTGGAGTAAGGAAACTTGCCCAACATTTCACCCTGCCCAGGAATCAAACCCAGCTCCTCTTGCTGGCAAGGCGAGTGCTCTAGCCAATGAGCTACAGGACATGGAGTCCTTAGTGGTTATAGGTAAAGGTAGACAACTCGGCCCATTGTGCCTGCTCCACCGTTTTATTAGTTTGCGGCAGGTCTGCAGCACTTGCCATGTCATGGGGAGGAACTTCACAATGTTACAAGAGAATACATTTTGCAAGTCTCCCCCAAGGCTGCCCTCTAAACCACAATTCTAACGTATTAAACAGAGTAACAAGAGATGTGTTCAACTGAGGTGTGTTCAGCTGTCCCTTTTATAATGTTTAATCAAGACAATTCTAAAGGACATACAACCCTTTAAACCCTCTCCGTGAAGGGCAGCTTGCGGTGACATTTAGTAAGGACCTTAATCTATATTGAAAGAACCAAGGGACATACAAAGCTGCTGCTGTAGAACTGTTGGATAAAGAATCCTTACAGTCAGCAGCTGAACAAATCAGTTCTATTTTCTACCGATTTGTACAAGAAATATAACCGTGAAAGCTGAGATGAGATGCAATTTAAGATATGTAATTATCTTTTAAGACATTTATCCTTTATACATTCATTTGCAAGGACAGGGATTCAAGTGTCCTGGGCTTTGATATGACTGAATGGGAGGCTCCAATATTGATCTTGTGACTTAGCTATACTGTACCTATGAAGTTGTATTATGAGGATGTAAAACATGCTTTTGAAAGAACATGAATCTTCTTCCTAGGGCCAAGACCTATCTATCAAAGGTATTTTCATTTTCTTTAATCCACAAAGGCTGTTAATACTCAGTGAAGGTATTTAGCACAAGGACTCGCAGCTTGTTCTGCTTGTCATATTGATTTTCAACCGGGCTGCAGTTCTCTTGAAGGTCAAAACCTGAATCATCTTTTCCCTTTGCGCCCCATCCACCTCCTATGTTGAGTCAACATCCAAATACAGAATATTCTTTTGCTTACCCCCAGGAGCTCTGCTATTATAGTTGTTGCGTTGGTGGTTGCAGACAGCCAGCACACTTAAAACTAACCGGAGTGATTCTTAGCAATTTTCCTAGGAATTCTCTAACCTCTCCCAGCTGCTGGGTACAGAGTATCTCCTCAACATGTCGATCAAAGTTCCCTGTTTCCTTCTTGCCTCTACATTCCTGTGCACTCTGGTTGCTTGTGGAACAGTGAAAGCTGTTCAAGACTTTGGAATGATGTGAATGACAGCATTGTCTGTAGCACCTTCGCTTATCCTATTATGTGAAGAATTTATGGGGTCGAAATGATAGCTTTCCTAAATACATTAACAATGCTTTGAAAACTTTCCCTTACTTCTGAATAATGGCAGTGCCCAGACCTCCTCAAAGGGGAAAACTTTAAAAACAACAATAACAGCATTTCTGAGCTTATTCAGCCATATTGGTCTAACTGACAGAATCCCATCAATAAACCTCTCACAACTACAAACCAAGCCTTTGCTGAAATATTCAGCCCTCGAGAGGGGGATTATTTCCAAACACATTTTAATAGTGTTCCTTAAATAGAGAACAGAGTGTGTTTTGTTGGAGTGCAACAATTTTGATAATCTAGCTCAAAGATCATAGTGGCTTCGGAATTAATCTGAGAGTAGTTATACTGTAACTGGCAAAGCAATTTCCTGCTCTATGTTCTCTGATCTTTTTTTGGTCTTTATGTACTGTATTTCTATTTTCCAATGTGATTTGGAAGGCTGACTTTAAACACACTAGGTGGCCTGGAAATTTATAATATTTGCATAGGTTTTAATGAAATCCAATTCTGCAATAGTTGTAGTCTATAATTCTCCTTCCTCTCATTCAAGGTCCATCTCCAGATGTATCTCTTTGCTGTACTTTCAGCCATTTTTTCCCTCCCCACTCACTTCAGCTTCCACCCCAATGATTTCCACCAGCTCAAATGATTTGAGATATCCTCTCAATTGGAAGAGGAAATCCACTATAGGAAAGCCACAATATCAAGGTAAATTGTATTGTATTGTAATGCATATAGTGAAAACATAAGAGAATTTTGACTTATTTATAGTTGACCTCTCTGGCTTAATCGTTATTACCACAAAGTATATGTAATACACACTGAACAAATCTGATGGAATTAGAATAACCTCCATAACGATGTTGACACTTATATAACTTGCTGTCGGAAGCTGTGGTTGAACCAGAAAACGCCAATGCATTTAAGAGGAAACTCGCTGCATACAGGAGGAAGAAGGGAACAGAAGGATATGGGATGTGGATTAAGATGAGGTGATTAGGAGGGGTGGAGGCTCATGTGGAGTACAAACACTGGAATGGATTAGTTGGGCCAAACAATCTGTTTTAGTGCTGTACAATCTGTGTAATTATTAGGGTTAGGGTTAAATTATACACATGATTTATCAGAATCTTATAAAATTTGCAAGGCCATATGTTACTGGATGAATGGGAGATTGCTGCTTAGTAATATTTTTAATGTGTGTTCTACAACACAACAATAAACGGAAGGGATCACAGGGTACAGAGGAAAAATATTCAACAGGAAAATATCCAATAAGTTATGGGATGTTGAAACTGCACAAGCCTTTGTCTCTGGAAAGAAGCAAGCACTGGGAATAGGAATTGCTTTGGATATCGCAGCTCCGAGGAAACCTTTCTAATATGATGTTCCTTTGGGATGCTTGGCTGATCCCATAAGAACAAAAATCAAAGAACATTAATGTGGATCAGGAAGAGATATTGATTAAAGAATAAACCACATGTCCTTATATCTCCTCTCACAGACACCATAACCATCATTCATTCTTCCCAGCCAATGTGGATCAATCTCTTCCTCCCCTCACTCCCTGAATAAACTGAGACCTAATCTTATTCATAATATTCCCCATATCAATGCTTCATTTGCAGAATTTCTTTTTAATTCTTGTAATAACTAGTTGAAACATGATCAATAGATAAATTTGATGTATGTAAGTCACTGACTGTATTGTTTAGTAGCTTAATATCACCATCATTCAGTTATCCCCCCCCCCACCACCCCAAAAAGGAACAACACTCCTGGGAAATCAAATACATGAACCTTTTCAGGACAATATCGCATAGAATATCTCACACACTATGTGGGACTCAAGATGAATGTCTATGATACGAACCTATGACCTTCATTACCTGGAATGATGTAAAGTGGAATTACCCTGGAGTGCTCCTGATCAGATAATTCACTTTGGTGTCATTCAGTGCCCCGTGAACATTTTGCACTTGGGTTTAATGCCTGGGGTAGAACATTTATTAATTTGACCTGGTTATTTCAAAAGGCACAAGAGGTCATTATTCTGCCTTCTCATCAACTTAACATAAGTAATGGTCTCAAGCCCTTTCCTTTTGGTCATCTTTCCCTTCCTATCCCCTTGGGTGTCAAGCCAGGGTTGACGAGTGACTTGGGACATCCTCCTGACATGAAAGGCATAATATAAATGTAAATTATAAGTGCTGTGAGAAGATACCCTGCGTGAAGAATGCTATATTGTGCAAGTTGTTATTGTTGTAAAATGCATTGTAAAGTTGTATTGTATTAAATGGCATATGGGGGAATGTGTAATCAATTTTAGCTGGTTAAACTTAGTTACTTACTTCTTTCACAAACCATTGACAGAAAGCTGGCCCAATCCATTCTCTAGCATGAATGCCACAGTCTATCCACACTGCCCTCTTCAATGGACGCGATCTCTTGCCTAGCTGAAATCAAAATTGGACATTAAGCGCTCCTAATAGCTGTCTGGTGACTATCGTGTTAAAATAACTATTCTAACCAGAAGACACTACCTGAAGAACAAAAAGAGGTCGTCCTTCAAATGATTTGCCAATGGAGAAGAGATAAATAAGACGTGAATGCGTTTTGTTCATCTGATACATCCAGTTTTGTATCTGAAAAGTTCAGAAGAGAAGTTATGTGAAACATTTATTCAAAGGACATAGTGTATTAACATCTGATCTCTTAATAATAATAATAATAATCTTTGCATTTGATATAGCGCTTTTCACGTCGGGAGGACGTCCCAAAGCGCTTCACAGAACACACTGTATATGTGAATTGACTGTATATTTGTGGGCGAACGCAGCAGCCAATTGCGCACAGCAATGTCCCACAAACAGTCATAGATTGAAAATGACCAATTTTTATTATTGTTTTTTTTTTTTGGAGGGATTATTATTAGGCGTGTGGACTAAGGAAACTTGCCCAAGGTTTCGCCCTGCCTGGAATTGAACTCAGGTCTCTCACTTGCAAAGCGAGTGCTCTAACCACTGAGCTACAGGACTCCTTTCACATCAGGAGGATGTTTTGAGCGCTTCACAGGATTTAATAGTGTATGTTTTGTAGGTGAACTCAGCAGCGAATTTGCACACAGCAATGTCCCACAAATAGCTATGAAGCGAATAACCAATTTTATTTGGATGATTGTTGGTCAGGATATCCTTCTCAAACAGTTACAGTTTGCAATAAAATGCGCAATGAGGAAATTGAACAAATACATGCACATCATCTTCTTTTAAATTGGTTTAATTGGGGTCTGGGCCCCCACTCTCTGGAACTCCATCCCACAATCCCTGTGCCTCAACCCCCTCCCTTGCCTCCTTTAAGGCCTGCCTCAAGATCCTCCTCTTCGACCATGCTTTTGGTCAGCCTCCTACCCTTACCCTCCCCGCCCTCCACCCCTCCCGATCGCAACCACCAACTTGGGTGTGGATCCTTGACTGTCCAGCTCCTTGGGACGTCTTCCTGACGTGAAAGGCGCAAGACAAATGTAATTTGTTGTTGTTATTGTTAAGGCTCCTGCTGGTAACATACGTAAAAGGTTCAGGTAGGAGCAGACCATCGATTCATCTAGCCATTCAACTTCTCAAATGATTGTTAGGAAACAGCTATCTCATCAATTATCTATCATCTCCAAATCCTTTTGCGAGAACTTCTCAAGTCCCTTTCTGAAAGAGACCTTTATGTTGGATTTGCTTCCCTTCCTACCCCAGTCTACCACAGTCTCCACAGCCTTTTAAAACCATAGGCTACTGTACAGCATACAGTTCTAGCTGTTACAACACAAGGAAGATGCTCAAGTCCCAGAGGAGAGCAATGCAGATGAGCTCCATTGTTAGAGGGATGAGCTGTGAGTGAAGATTAGATAAGCTTAGGCTCTTCACTCTTGAAAGAAGACATCTGAAATTTGAAGAGTGCACCTCTTTCACCTGCATGTCAGATAAAACTGGTTCAGAATTAGTGTAACTTGAAGGATGTACACACCTCATCCAAAGAATGGTAGACTTCATAGCTGTAGAGAAGATTGGATCTTCGTTGGCGAGAAGGGGTGATGTCTGTTTGCTTTTCAATTTGTCTCTGAAGATCAGAAATCAGGATCCTGAAAAATCAATACATATTGTTAGTACTTAAGCAACTTAAAGAGTCACCTGGGTCGGAGAACACAGCTCTGACTCCTATCGCACATCTAATTAAGCGTAGATTGGCAAAAGCCAAGGTTTGAGGAGTAGCACCAGGGAATTGTTTTGAGTTGCACCCATCAAGAAAATGGCAGTCTCATGCCAACCTGCGAGACCATGGCTTTGATCAGACATCATCTCAGAGCCAAGTATTGGCAAGTTAGCGTGGTGCACAGAGTTCTCTGCAAGAAGTTCGCCGTGTGCCCATGGAACCAGTTATGCTGCAGTTTTTCTGAGGAGCTCATGTGTTATACTGTATGTAGTTTTTCAACCCCTATTGACAGTACACACAAGTAACTTGAAGATATTTGACGATGCAGAATGAGATGACTGAATTTAATCATTGCGTTACATTTTTTGGTGACTATGGAGAAAACGTATTGGCAATTAATAAAGACGGTGCTTTTAATAAACGACTACAAGCAAAACTATTTGTACGTCTTCAGAAATAACAATAATAATAATAATCCTTGCATTTGATATAGCGCTTTTCACGTCAGGAGGACGTCCCAAAGCGCTTCACAGAACACACTGTAAAGTGAATTGACTGTATATTTGTGGGCTAACGCAGCAGCCAATTGCGCACAGCAATGCCCCACAAACAGTCATGGATTGAAAATGACCAATTTATTATTGTTTTTTTTGTTTTGGAGGGATTATTATTAGGCGTGTGGAGTAAGGAAACTTGCCCAAGGTTTCGCCCTTGCTGTATCCTTGCTGTAAATTGAGAGTGAGTCACAGACTTCTCCATCATTATTATCAATGCCTTTAGCTCAATAACTATCTGAGATGCATTTCTTCAAGTCACGATTGATCCTTTTATTTCTTCCTCCCTTGTCACCTGCCAGTCCTGCAGAGGTCAAGTTCAAAGTATCTTAGTCAAATTGCTTAATAAAAGCAGAGCTTGAAGGTCAAGACATACTGTGAACGTTATTCCCAAACTGCTCGTCCAAAATCCAGGAAGGGAAGAGAATACAATTAATGGAAAATTTTGCATCATCATCATCATCATCAATTTATCATCATCGAAAACGTTACGTGAAGAATTATTAGAAATGAATCCCATGACTTTATATGAAAAAAGTAAAGAAACTTCTGTTGTGAATTCTTATTCCTGACAAAAAACAATGTTCTAGACGTGAAAGGGAAATAAGCGTACCAGAGCTATAGAATGCAAGGAATATTATTATTATTATTAATCATAGAATTATATAGCAGAAGGAAGCCATTCGGCCCATCATGTCTGTGCTGGCTCTTTGAAAAGAGCTATCCAAATCAATCCCACTCCCCCATTCTCTCCCCATAGCCCTGCAAATTTGTCCTCCCCAAATAATTATCGAACTTCTCTCTTAACAGTTGTTATCAAATCGGCTTCCACCATCCTTTCAGGCAATGCTTTCCAGATCCGCTGTGTGAAAAAGATTCTCCTCACCACCCCTCTGTTTCTGTTTCCTCAATCCTGGTACAATCCTGGTAAATCTCGTTTGCACCCTCTCCAATACCTTGACATCCTTCCTAAAGTGTGGTTCCCAGAACTGAACACAGGCCTAAATGGAACAAAGCAGGTTTCCATCTGCATTATCTACCAAAGCCTATCACACTGCCTACAGTATTGATTCCTTCCTCTAGGGGTAACATCTCTAGAGTATTGACATTTTTTCCATTGTTAAATGTTATTTTTAGATATAGCAAAAAAATCAACACAACAAAACTGGATAATGTAAAAAAAACTTTCAAAACTAATCATAATTAAACACTTTTCTAATTATAATTAAATACTCTGCCCCCACTCTTTGAAACTCCATCCCAAAATCCCTTTGCCTCAACTCCCTCCCTTGCCTCCTTCAAACCGTGCCTTCAGCCGCCCTCCTACCCCATCTGCCCTCCCTCATCCCAACCCTGCTCCCCAACGCTCGGTTCTTGATCCTTGACTGTTCAACACCTTGGGGCGTCCTTGTTGTTCTTGTTGTTTTCAAACAGCGTTGACAGAAAAGCTTAACGCAAACTATATTTATTGGTTTCAGTATTTGTAACACATCAGCATAAAATATCTGACATTACTAATAGTGCATAAATCTATCCAGTGAGTGAAATGCTGGACTCAGATGCAGCTGATTCAGACTGAAGATAAAGCTGTTGAGATAAATTAGCAAAAGATAGAGCAATTTGTAAAAAATATATGCCACCCATTACAATGAAAAATTGACAAGCTTCATACTGATTTATCTTCATTGCCTCAAAGAAACACTGCATTGCCACACTTAGCAAATGAGACCTTATTTTGCCTGGTAAATATTTTGAACCTTACAACTTCTGCATTGGGATTCCTGCAGTGAATGGAAACATTTTAATGTACGACAGATGCTCAGCACTTGACCACCAGCTGCATTGAGCACTTATTTTACCCGAACAAAGGTTGGTGTGCAAGAAGCTTTTCTCACATGTTTGTTGCACAGCAATAACAGTAATTTATTAACAGTATGGTGAAGTCAGTGCACATTGTACAATTAAAGAACATAAGAAAGTAGAGGATGAGAAAATGGTGTCATTTGCATAAAGGTGTTTCAGAGATGGACAATACTGACCAATGATGCACATTAATTCACCAAATGTCATAATACAAAGTTAATTCCATTTCAGTCATATTCCTACAATTTCTAGGGGAAATAAATTATATGGAAACGAATATTGATTAATCTATTGAAAGCGCCAATGGTAGTCTAGGAGAGCTCCTACAAAGCCCTGTCATTGCCATAAACAAGATAGTAAGTATTTGGACTAGCAAAACTAAATGGAATCATCTTTTGGTGCTCGAAAAATCATTTATTGGATCCTGTACCAAAGGAGAATAAAATTGATTTTACGATGAATGGTTGGTTCAAAAACAGTGTTATTTTTCGCATGTAGTTGTTTGTATCAGATCAATCAGCAAGTAAAATCTATTAGACGGACTGAAGCTCAGGCAAGTAACACAGACAGTAATTCATAAGAAATTCAGGTGTCTAGCAGATAGAAAATCTAAATCATCCACCGGCTGACACTTAATATTCCAATCTAGAAGATGTGGGTACAGGATCTCTCTGTTTCATACAAGATGTGAAATCTGATACATTCCCCATAGGTAATAATCACATCTGTCTGACAGCTAACACGCAAGTATTGATCACAAAAGGATTAAACTATTTGCAGTCCAACCCTATGGAAATTGTACAGGAAAATCTGCGAGCAAGGCACGATTTTAATGTTTTCAGTGTCAAGAATATAAGCTTCAAAAGATTCATGCTTGCACATGAATTAACAAAGTGTTTTGTACAAAAAGTGGAGTGGACTCAAAGCAGAGTTGGGACTGCTGAGAGTATAAATTGGAAAGAGTGATCTACTGATAACAAATGTTGATAATTAAGCTAAGTGGGTTAAGTTACGGAAGTTAACTTTGTAAAAGGTGTAAGCCTAAATTAACAATTGGGTTAAGAGAAGTTCAAGGAGAGCCTACCCCCTGTTGGGTGCTCCGCTTGACAGTCTCTTCTACATAAACAATCCTTTTGTACTTTCCACCTTTACCCTCTCTTCTTCCTCCTGAACTGTGATCTAGTCACCAAAGCAGACGGACTCAGAAGTCTGGCTACAGCAGTTTTTCCAATGACATTGCGCTGGAGCCCTGAAGTTGTATGTAAAAATGTGAAGTTTTACACATCTTCATGGTTTTAAATAGTATCAGTAATGACCATAAGAACCGGCTGCCAAACAGTGGGGTCCTTGAAGTTTTCTCTTCAGCCATTTGATATGCTAATACCTTCCTCATTAAAATCTGAAATTGAGACAGAAGAAGTGAGTGAAACGTTCCATTTGGTTGTTAAATAATAACCCTTACATTTGACACAGTGTCTTTCAGGAGGATATCTAAATAAAAAAATCCTTGCATTTGATATAACGCTTTTCACGTCTTCTAGACGTTTCAAAGCGCTTCACAGAATATACTGTAAAATGATTTGAGTGTATATTTGAGGGTGAAACACGGCAGCCAATCCCACAAACAGTTGTGGATTGAAGTGGCTAATTTATTATTGTTTTTTCTTCTTGAAGGATTATTATCAGGTGCGTGAAATAAGGAAACTTGCCCAAGGCTTTGCTTTGTCAAAGCACTTCCCAGGATACACTGTAATGTTTAGCGATGATGCACTTTGTAGGTGAATGTAGCAGCCAATTTGTGCACAGCAATATCCCATAAACAGCCATGAAGTGAAGTGAATGACCAATGTTTTCTCGGGGATTGTTGACGAGAAACTCCCTTCACTTTCTGAGTTGTGGCTTGGAATCTTTAACATCCACCTAAACAAGTAGACAGGTCTTTGGTTTAACATCTCACCCAAAGGACGCCTCATCTGAAGCAGTGTTATTAATAGTAATGTGGTTCGCTGCAAAAAAGTTTGGAATATGCTGAACTATATTTCTGAAATAGAAACAGATTTGTGATTTAAAAAATACATTAGCTATGAATAATCCCTGAGGCCATTTTGGTTTAGTTAAAGAGTAACTTGCACATTTAACTAACAATGAGAAACAAAATGGCCCTTTGTCGTGACAGTGTGCAGCAAAAAGACACGTTTAGCAAGATATAAAAAGCGAAATCTATTTGCTCGGCTTTGAACAGAATCAAATCGTACTGTTGTTAGGGATGTCTCTAAACTCTGTTACAATGGTCTGATTTGTTGCCTGTGTGAGACTGCCCTCTTTCTGTGCATTGTACTGCACAGAGTTCCATCAGCAATGCACAGCAAAACTGACGCCATGAAAACAAAAAGCCACACAGCGGTGGGATAAAGACGTGCTTTCTAACGCTGGTTTGAAATCTTAATTTTGCAATTTGAGACGATAAATTACATGGAACATCAAACCCATTTCCTGCTAAGACTACATAAAATTCAAGAGTGTTTTCGACAACACAATAATTAGACCAATTATTCACCTTTGATCAGGTGCCTCATTAGCATTCCATTCCAGACATGGAAATTTCCATGTATAGGTGACATACATGAATTTCTCAGTCTGGTTTGTATACTCTTAACCATGATGATGGGTTTCCATGTGTGACAGACATATGACTAACAAAAGCATTCTGTAATGCAACACTGCAGCCTTGATATCAGCACTAAACTCCAGTCTGCATTTCAAACAGCGTAATGTTTTTTTTTACTTTTAATCCACAGAAGCACAGTTTTAGCATTCTCTCAGCTACCAGTCTCACATCCAGGAGAATCAAGGAACCATCTTGCTAACTCTGAATCATCTCCTGCACCAAGATTCCTTGGAATAATAACATCCATCTCTCTTTCAAGGTTGCTGTCTTTATCATGGCTGTTGCCCTACAGATACTTTTGAGAATCTGAATCTGCAAAAGAACAGCATTGATTGTTCATCTGGGTGTCCAGGGCGGCCATGCAAAAATGGAAAATAGGCTATTAGAGAGAATAAATTAACGAGAGAAGAAAGAGATTGAGTTCATCGCGTTACAGTGGGAATTAGCGAGGTTTAAAGGATCATAGAGAAAGGGCAATGGTGTGTGTGAGAGGGATAATAGCCAGGGACAAGGGTAAGAAACACTGACTACATAAGATTTAGCAATAGATTAGCAGTAGGATAATAGGGGGAATAAAGAGTACAATACAATATAATTTACATTCATACAGCACCTTTAATAATAACAATAATCCTTGCATTTGATATAGCGCCTTATCAAGTCTTTCAGACGTCTCAAAGCGCCTCACAGAATATATTGTAAAGTGAATTGACTGTATATTTTGTGGGCAATACGCAGCAGCCAATTGCACACAACAGTGTCCCACAAACAGTCGTGGATTGAGTAACTAAATTGTTGTTATTATTTATTTTGAAGCGATTATTACCCCCAGAAAAGCGATCCGCCAATCGACTAACTAGGTAAACAGAGATTTGTGGAGTAAGGAACTTTGCCCAATGTTTCGTCCTACCCAGGAATCGAACCCAGGTCTTCTCACTTCGGAAGCGAGTGCTCTAACCACTAAACTATAGGACTCCACAGCAGGAGGATGTTTCAAAGCACTTAATAATGCTGACTGGGCACCGGAGGTGCGGGTGGGAGCAGAGAGGGGTGGGGAAAGATGACGTAGTTAATGAATTACATTTTGAGAAGTGCCTTGAACGAGGGGAGGGAGGGAGTTGCAGGGACTCTGGGATGGAGTTCCAGAGAGTAGGTGCAGCATGTCTGATATGGCAGATAGAACAGAGGACATGAAGCAGGTCAGCGCTTGCTGAGAAACGGGAACAGCCAGGTCGGTGTAAAGCAAGAAGGATAAGATATCTTATTAAGATCCTGTTAAGCAGGGCAAACATTTGCTGGAAGCTGTACATCTGCACCTACCTCATTTGAAGTCAAGCTGCTGTGGTGGTTTATGATCAGGTGCCAAACAGGGCCTCGAGGCAAGTGGCTGGTTTTCCAATCCTTGCAAAAATAAACAGCTGTGTGTGTGTGTGTGTAACACAGAAAGAGCATAGTTGCAAAATAGATCTTATTATGAAAAAATAGTTTATGTTGGATTTTCTATAGTACAGAATATCAATAATAGGTTTCCTACCTTTGCTTTTTCTGAAATAAAATCTTCACTCCGTTTCTTCTAAATGAGGCAGAGGAATAGATGGATGATATTTTGTTTTGCATTGTTATTCCTGATAAACTACAAATCACACTCTCTTTGGCCAGTCAAAATCTCTGAAGACATCACATGCAAATCCTTGCCTTTACTCTCATCAATAGCATTCAACCCCTTAGGAATTATGGCAACATAATCAGAAAGACTTATGTACCCGATATTCCCCAGCCTTTGGGCATATTGACTGGAGAGAATCTCAATGCAGAAGGCAGGTGAGCAGAACATACTTCAATACTTTGTTCCACTGAGCTGTATTAGGTGGTCTATTATTACTGTCCAAAGGCAAATAGTTTAGCAGTGCAGTAGGCTGTGTATCAGTCTGGCTCAGTTCATAGCACTCTTGCCTCTTAGTCAGAAGGTTCTGCATTCAAGTCCCATGTCGGTACTTGAAACTTACGTGCACCAGGCTGACCCTCCAATATAGTGTTCAGGGTGCACTGCATTGTTGGGGGTCCCGTCCTTGAAATGAGACGTTAATCTGAGGACCCATTTACCGGTTCAGGAGGAAGTTAAAGATCCCATGGCACTATTCAAGGACAGAAGGGAGTTTCTCCTGGTGTCCTGGCCATCAGTCCAACCTGATAAAATTGGTCATTCACTTCATGGCTTTTTTGAGGGACATTGAGGTGCATAAGTTGGCTGCTGCATTCGCCCATATCACACAGTATATCTGTGAAATGCTTTGGGATGTTCTCCCGACATGAAAGGTGTTGCATAATAATAAGGATTATTATTATTAATAAGGAAAATAGTATCAGTATTGGATTACAATTCTGAACGATATAAAGGAGAAGTGTATATCACACATAACATTTTATTAGAATACAATCATGATTCATGCCTGACAATATGATACAGTCAATTCTCATAAACTATGGTATTACAAAACTGACATCATTGTAAGGTTTCTCTTGCTTTGGTCTGAAGCTGATTTAGTCAAAAAGGAGCTTTTGCTGTGATGCAAAGAATGAGTTATGTGAGAACGATTCGATGGAGCAAACTGAAGTCAGCCACCTTCCCCACACAACAGAGGGAAAGTAGATTCAAAAGGAAGAGTCATTCTGGAGATACGTTAGAATAAGAAAAGGTGCCCAGTCTACTTTCAAATGTACCAAGACAGCAGGACAAGGGTTAAAGGTCCACAATTGTGAAGCAGTGTTTGTAGGTCTGAAACCAGGGCATATTTCCTGATATGGAGGGTGATTAACAGCTGGAACGGGTCACCAGCAAGCTAGGTAAGGATAGTGGACTCATTCAAGAAACAGCATAATACTGTAGATGGAAGACAGGAAGTTTGGTGGTCCATCGGTCTGGATGGATTGAAGGGCAGAATGGATTGAAGGCCTTTCTTCATCCAAACCTCTGCGGTGATCTTTGGCTAGAGAAGAGCAAGTGGTGAACAGAGCACAAAGGAAGGGAAAAGTAGAATGTACAAAACAAAGTGCTTTACCAGCTCTGGGGCTGCAGTCGTGGGCTTTGNTTTTTTAAGCTAAATCTTTTACTTTCAATAATACTTGGTTAAGTTGTAAACATCCACTTGCACCAGAAAGTGCAGATTTAATAAATTGTTTAAAACTTACTCATACTCGATTCCAGCCTCTTGGAGTGAGAGAAGGAATGGCTGGCAGCTGCTCCTAGGTACATGTATGTCCACAACAGTGGTGAGACCAATGGACGAGGGGCTGACAGGCTGCCATAAATCCACCTATAGTGCAGGAACCAACCTGTAATTTATATGTATTCGCTCTTATAGTTACAATATATAATATAATAATAATAATCCTTGCATTATGATATAGCGCCTTATCACATCTTCGAGACGTCTCAAAGCGCTTCACAGAATGTACTGTAAAGTGAATTGACTATATTGTGTGGGCGAAACGCGGCAGCCAATTGCACAAATAGTCGTGGATTGAATGACCAAATTATTATTATTATTATTTTTTGAAGGAATTATTACCCCCGGAAAAGTGATCCGCCAATCGACCAACAGCTAGGTTCCTACTTACTGCTGGGTAAACTGATGCCCATATGCGTCAGTGGCCACAAGACGCCAAAAATGAGGAAACCTAGATGTCGGATTGGAGCGCAGGGAAAAAGTCTTTAGATTTGCTACCAAGCCAATTAGGAATATGGCTGGTGCATGCTGCTTGAGCAGAAGAATGGTATCCCATAAATCCGAATGGAGAGATCAAAACCTCCTGCTCCTGCTGACCAGATGAAAGAAATGCCACGTACCCCACCCACCCAAACACAGGACGATTTGACAAATTGGCCCACCCAACAGTCTGAGATGAAGTGTCTGAGGAGGTTGGAGGCACGGCATTAGCAGACACTTGTGACACAACCAGAACGTGGCCATTTCCTGTGTCCAACTCCAAGCCAATCCAATAAAGGCAGAGGAGGAATTTTGCTTCAGAAATGTGTTTCAGAATAGCACAGTATAGTTCCAGGACAATAATACAGCACGGAAACAGGTCATTCAGCCCAACTAATCCGTGCAGATGTTTATACTCCACACTCCTCCTGTTTCTCTAACCTATACCCCTCATATTCACTTCTCCCTCAAGTTTTTCCTTAAATACATTCCACGACTAGTATGTTATGGGACTTGATTATGAATTGGTTAATGCGCCTTGTTTTCCTGAATCCCCGATTGCTGTAAATCATGTCAGTGAGCATTTTTTCTCTATAAGTTTGCCTTGGGTTGTAATTGAGGTGACTGCATACTTGATTTATTCTCATTTCTTTCTACCAGTTATAGCTGAGGCCTCATTATTTTTCTTCGAATGCTGCTGGGCTGCTTTAGTTGCTTTTAAACCTTTTCCCCGGTGCTTTGCACAGTTCTGTACCTGTTAAGCATTGTGAGCCACTAATTTGTTGCAACATAATATTTCTTTTTTTTAAAACGTACAGCAGCACTACCTATAAGATGGCATTTTCCTACAGCTGATGAAAATCCTAGACTGCAGTTCTGAAGGAAACAACTTTTGAAGACAGGAGGAAATTGGAAATTGTGTAATATATGTATACTGAGAATCCCAAATAAATGAAGCCAGTTGTAATAAAAACAAAATTAAGATTTTACTAGGGTGCAATAAAATAGCCCAATATTGGAAAATTTTGCCCCAAGCAATGGTTACTACAAAATTCAGAATATGCATTGCGAGTTGCTTTCTGGCTATCTTTCAAGCAGTTAAGTGAACTAACCAATTATCTGATATGCATTTGAGCAGAGTAATACTATGCGAACAAATAGTGAATTTTCAGTACCTAGAAATTGCTATGCAATTAAATAGAGTACGCAATTATCCGATATTCAATTAATAGGAATGCGCTGTACTTTATTCTCTTTAAAACTAAAACCAGCTGACATTTGCTGAGCTCTGTCTTTACTGTCTCGATAGAGAAACAATGGCAGAACTTTGCTCCGCCCAGAAACAGCCACAGTGGGTACGAGGCAAGACAAATTTACAATACAAATTGCTGAGGTGAGGTTCCATGGAAGGCTATTGTCCTGCGTTACTCCACCCAAGTGGCCATTGCTTATGTGCAAGCCTTGATAGTGAGTGTTGGCAAGACACCTGACTGTGGAGGATGTTACAGCAACTGTGAGCTCTCCCCACCCGGGGGCCACTCCAATGCATCACAGGTAGATTATGCTGTAGAGGGCCCAAAAGAATTATGGCTGGTTTTCCAATCCCCAACCCTTGGAAAGCTGGGGCTGATTTTTCCTCCTTGTATAGTTATGGCTGAAATGCAGCATGGACTGGAATTTGAACCAGTGAGTTCCTTGCCTGTAAACTGCAGCTCTATTCACGACACTGTTGGGATGCCCCCTACTGATCTTTTTTTAAAAAAAATAGAACAGACACGAGACTGTAGGTTACGAACTGTCCTTTTTTCAGAAGCTTTCTGCTCGCTCCCGATTCTACATCCCACTGTCTGCACTGGTTTCAAACAGTCCTCATGAAATCTTACACAAAAGTCATAAAGACTTATCACCTAACCAGATGACCTAATAGTATCCATCTCTATTGTGTAAGGATACTAATGTACAGTTACAAAATTAATCTCTCTGGATTGATAATCGCATCTATACTGAACAATACTGGAGCAAGCAAATGGCAGTCAGTTGATATTGCTAATCAAAGAACATTTTAAAGAAGCTTAGTTTTTTCCACTTTTTATTAGAAATCAAAAGCACAGTACCTACAAACCTTGAACATCTTCAAGGCTGAGACTGATAGATTTTAAAAAAAACAGAGGCATTAGGGGATATGGGGATAGGGCAGGTAATTAGAGTTAGGTCAGAAGATCAGCCATGATCTTATCAAATGGCGGGGCAGGCTCAAGGGGCCGAATGGCCTACTCCTGCTCCTAATTCTTATGTTCTTATGTTCAAACTGTATGTCTCCCTTCCTCCTGTCGTCAATAGAAGATGTTATAAAAAATATTACTGCTGGTTTCTGGACAGATTATAGTACAAAGCCATGCAGACCAAGGTACTTAAGAATTGCTTGTCTAAGATGATGCCAGTGAATCTCTCAAATAAGATTAGCTGTACTTTAAAGTCATCATTCGAGGGTGAGGAATGCCCATTTTTGGAGACCAAGAGTTGATAAGGTGTACATCATTCTATATGTGTGCTGATGCTGCAAAATACTAAGTTTTATTGCTTAGTGTGGTTGGCTCTTTGTATGTGAAACCTAAGTTTCCTTACCCACATGTCTCTGTTTACCTAGCTGTAAGTAGGAATACGGTTGTTAGTTGATTGGTGGATTGCTTTCCGGTGGTAATAATCCATTCAAAAATAAAATAATAATAATTTGATCACTCAATCCACGACTGTTTGTGTGATACTGTTGTGCGCAATTGACTGCTGCGTCTCCCTGACAAAATATACAATCAAAATCCACTCACAATATACACTGTGAAGCACTTTGAGACATCTCAACTACGTGATAAGGCCCTGTAGCGAATGCAAGGATTATTATTATTACACAACGTATTCTGAAAATTCAGCATGGCACAGATGAATTGCCCATCTAATAATGGTCTTAATTGCAGTTTTCAGCCCAACATGTATTGCTACTTTAAGTCTGCATTAGAAAATTGAAACCAACATCAGCATCGCCCAAATCAGAATTCAAGCCTAGTTTTGCATTTCCTGGATAGCGAGATGTTGTGTAAAAATGTCTCTAGTGGCTACTGTAACTTGCACATGTAGTGTTGGCAGCACAGATCAGCACTAGTTCAGGGGAATAAGGCAGTTTTCACAAGTTTGAGAATAGCTAATTACAGTTAGCAAAGTCAAGGAAATAGCCGTGAAATGGTGAAAAACAAATGAATAGCAAAAGGTTAATATAATAATAATAATCCTTGCATTTGATATAGCCCCCTATCATATCATCGAGATGTCTCAATAAATGTAATAAGAGAGCATCAGAAAACTGTAAATATTTTGCATTTTGGAACTTAGACTACAGATCTGGTTCATGAAAATTTCATGATAATAACAAAGGAGGAATCCTGTTGCTTTAGTGGAAGGAACAAGTTCAAAAGACAATGGAGTAGATATTCCTCCTGGGTCCAGGTTTACTCTATGTACTGCAGTTCTTGAGGCCATCCACAAGTTGAAAAATTCTTTATGTCAAAGCCAGTTTTCTATAAAAGTTGTTTCAAATCGATATTTTGGGCATTATGAAGTGCTACATGTCCTGAATACATGAACGCATTTTAATGAACCTTGGATGATACATAAACAGATCTAAATCTAGACTAGATTACATTCTTCTCCCTATATTTTTCTGCTACAACTGGGTTGAAAAAAAAGAAAAAAATGTAGCCCAAATGGTACCCTATGCACTGTGGCGAAAGCACCTTGGGATATAAGGTGCACCTCTTGCACGGATCCCCATGTATGGCATTCTGATTTGCAGGAACACTCCTCTGACCTGCGATTGCTGTGGACCAGAACTCTTGTGGTTCACTGTAACATACCCAGGGTTCCCTGCAAGAGACACACTTGACAACTCAAGGTACCACTGTAGAATTTTATGGTAAAAAAAACCAAAGTTACATTTGCACTGGCAACATTAAAATGTCTGAAAATGTTTCACAGGTAATTGCTGTCAAGTGTTGTGCCTATGTATTTGCAGACTAACATGGTAGCTATTTTGCACACAGAAATGTCCCAAGGATAGTCGTGAACTGAGTGTTCAATTTATCTAGAGGATTGCTGGCCAGGAGATTGGGAGAAACTCCCTTCTTCTTTTGAATAGTGTCTATAGACTCTTTAACGTTATCAGGAATAGGCAGACGGAGCTTTAGTATGGCACCTGTAGCAAAGGAGTTCTTTCCGAACTGCTGTTGAATGTTGAACTATGAGCTCAAATCTCGGCATGGGGTTGAACCTATAATTTTCTAACCCTAGGCAAGCCTCACTGAGCCAACCCATCGCTGTAGTTAAACGTCAGAGCTACAGAAATGTGCAATTAGTTATTCTTGCATTTTCAAAAAAACCTGCATTTTCTCCCCATTAAAAGCCAAGTTGTTACGAATGGACTATCAACCATTCCTATTGTCCTCTGCTTTACAACTGCGGTAAGGTATTGCGAGATCTGCTACAGATCAGCCAGATGGCAGGCTCCAATGACTTGTTTATCATTTTGATATTGTTGCAATATGAACACAGCACACTGCAATATCCTGCTGTGCTGTGGATTCAACCAAGTAAATAATGGGTCAAAGAAAACATCACACTGCAAGCAACACAACTTCCTCCCCAGCACTTTTTCAAAGATGCAAAATTCAATTGATTGTCATTCCGTTGATTTTTCTCCTGTGTAAGAAAAGTCTGTTAACAGGCCAGCGATGTGGAAACTGCTGCACGTGCAGGCTGACACCTGAGCCCACCCAGACCAGGGAAAGAACGGCAGACGGCGCCTCATTTATATTGCAGGACTGTCACCAACGGTAGGAGCCATGCAGTATAGATGCAGCACTCTCCTACCCAGTGGCGATCAGCATTTTTCCCAATTTAGGGGGAGCTTGACTGCAAATGTCATCCAAGGTTGAGGATAAAATACACGTCTCCCCATTCTTAGAACAGAGCAATTAAAGTGTTGTGGCACCAGGCCGCTATGTTGGTAATATTTCTATGCAGCTGTATACACACCTGCAACTCTGATTTGTTTTTGCTGTCGGTTTCCTTTTATCTCCTGGTGTGGCTGTCAGATGTGTTAGGCGGACTGACCAACAGTGACTTCTACTCTGGCAGATAACAGAATTATAATTATTGAGAATTGTGTCTTATCAAAGGCAGAGGGACAACTTCTATCCCTGTTTTGAAATGTGATCTTCCCCTTTCTTTCTCTCTTGTTCTGACATTCCCACCTCTCTCCCGCCACCTCCACTTCTGAATTACCTATTACATTTCATTCATTGATGCCACCAACCACATTACTTAGCATTTTCTGTATTTTAACACTTTCTCTTTCAAGTTCTTGTTTACTGTGCAGCAATCAATAGTGTGAAAATACTCTTATGTCGAAACATTCCAGGATGGCAGGTCATATGTTCTGCAATTTCCAAATCAAAAAGGTCTGGTACCAAAAATCACTCATCTTAATTTCGAATAAACCGAAAGCCCAAAAATAATGTTAAAATGCTTTTGTTTCAAATATTTAAATTCATAGCAAACACCACTCATCTAAACTTACTTGTACTAAAACAAATCTATTGTAACAAATCTGATGCTCCAATGCAGTGCTAGGGGAGGTGCTACTCTTTGGATGAGGTGTTAAACTGAGTTCTGATCGGTCTGTTCAGGTGGATGTTAAAGATCTCATGTCACTACTTGAAAAGTGAATGTGGTTTCTCTTGGTGTCGTGGCCAACTATCCCCCAAATAGAATTGGTCATTCACTTCATGGTTTATGCGATGTTACTGTATGCCATATTGCCTTTCAAAACACACACAGTGTTTTGTTTCAGTGTAAAACGTAGTCTCTTTACACTGAAATCCTATGAAGCGCTTTGGGATGTTTCGACAATGTAATAAATAATAATAATAATAATAAACTCTATATCAAATGCAAGGATTATTATATACCCAAATTCAGAGACATAGCTCTCAATATGGAAAATATTCTGTTAATCATTATCTACACCTCAAACCAAGAACAAGGATCTTTCCTGGATATTAAAACTTCCAGTGTGTTTGTGTTGGATGGGGAGGGAGGGTTGGAGGAAAGAGCAAAAGGAGTTTAACTTAATATCATGTCCACACTTGGATTGATCCAGGCAATTCCAACACATTATACAAAGGAACAGTCAGACTTTCTGTACTTTTGGTTGAGACAGTAAATTACAATGCAGAATATTATAATTAATAAGCAGGGCAACGTCTACTTTATCAAATGCATTTCTCACCATATTGCTATAAATAAATGTTAGCATCAATATACCGACAATCAAAAGCTTTTATTTCTCTCTTAAGGATATAATAGTAAAAAAGACAATATAATTAGATAATTATTTGGGGTGGACAAGTTTGCAGGGCTATGGGGCGAGAGTGGGGGAGTGGGATTGAATTGGATAGCTCTTTTCAAAAAGCCGGCACAGACACGATGGGCCGAATGATCTCGTTCTCTGCTGTATAATTCTATGATTCTATGAAAACTGAGTGTCTTACCTTTATATGGTCATTGATGTTCTTTAATGCCTCCACTTCTCCTTCACTTTTTGGAACTATTCGAATCACTTGATCTCTGTGTTTGAAAAAAAGGTGATTTTTATTTTGTGATTTTTTCTAAACATGCCGATTTACAAGTTTGGTTAAACATAGAGTTTACATCCCTCTATCTTTTACCTTTATTTTCTCTCTCCGTACAAAACTATCTATATTTTTACAAAAATAATGCACGTATTTATTGTAGTTTAAGATCCCATAGTACTACTGGATACAACGCATTTAATATTTTTTAGCTTTAGACATCTAGAGTGTGGTTTGTCACGTACTGTTACTATGGAGTCGACTATGCATGTATGTTACTGAAATTATTAATCCCAATATAAACATTTAATGAAACAATTGCTATATTTATAATAACAATAATTTTTTGGCAATCAGAGCATCATTTTTTTCTCTAACAAAGGAATATAGAAGGCTGGATAAAACAATTTTAGTCCATCTGGTTAGTCATGTATAGTCTAATTCAGCAATGGAAATAACTACAACATCAACAACTACTTGCAGTTATATAACAACCCTCATGTATGTAGAGCATGAATACTTTAAAGCGACTGTGCGTGACACCAAACACATCTAACACAGTTATTATGTTATAGCTGGTTTAGAAATGACATAATGCTGTTATAACATTTACGCTCCGATTTGCCGTTATATTTATTTATGTTTTCTGTTCCAAAATGCATTCCCCGGTATTTATCTACAATCGTATCCATCGGCCATTCTTTGGCCTGTGTGTTTAATTGCTTCAATTCTTCTTGAATCCTGAACTTCAGTCAATATAAAGCTGTTATCAATTAAGCTAATCAGATACTAAGTTGCATCTTGAAGGCATTTGACTACAACTTGAATTAAAGTTATTCCATAAACATAAGTCACTGGTGAGGCCACAATTTAAAGTTATTTTCCCTCACAGAAAAGTGGACTTAAGGAACAGATTTCCATTGAAAATGGTAACTGTGTCTTTAAACTGCTTCGAGGAAGACCTGGATGTGTATCTGGCTGGAGACGAGAGTGGAGGCTACAGGATAGGTGAAAACGGATACTCTACAACACACAATTATTCCATGCTTTCTGCTCTGCTAGCTAAACAGCATGAAATACATGGATTTTTATAGCACCTTATTAAGTCAAACAGCTTCACAGAAATTACCCTCAAGTACAGTGAGTGTTCTTTATGCCTGGAGGTCACGGATTTGTTAGTGTTCAAAATAAATGCTATGTGCCCCCTCGACCTCCCAAACCACCTCCTGATTATCCAATCCCCCTTTCGTGACTCCTATCTTCCCAATCTGCCAGCAAGGCACTCATCACACTGAGACGGCAGAGCAGGTAGCATTTATTTCGAACACGAATAAATCCGTGACCTCCTTGCAATAAGGAACACACACTGTACTTGATGGTAATTTCTGTGAAGTGCTTTGCAATGTGATAAAGAGCGTTCAATACTAATTGCGATTAGAAGTCATATATGGAGTCCTGTAGCTCAGTAGTTAGAGCTCTCGCCTCGCAAGCAAGAGGACCTGGGTTCGATTCCTGGGTAGTCAGGGCGAAACCTTAGGCAAGTTTCCTTACTCCACACACACAGACACGCACACACACACACACAAACATACACACACACACACCTCTGTTTACCTAGCAGTAAGTAGGAACCCGCTTGTTAGTCATTTGGCGGATCACTTTACTGGGGGTAACAATCCCTTAAAAAATAACAATTCGGTCACTTTAATCCATGGCTGTCTGTGGAACGTTGCTGTACACAATTGGCTGCTGAGTTTCACCCACAAAACACAGAGTCACTACACTTTACAGTTTATCCTGTGAAGCACTTTGAGACATTTAGACAACATGATAAGGCGCTATATTAAATGCAAGGATTATTATTATTATTACCTGGTCAATGTGATAAAATGCTCATTAGCTGGTCACCACTCATTAAATGGCTCCACTTACCTTATAGCAGTTGGACACTGCAGTAATGATCAATTGGAAACTGGATTGTGATGGAAATTCAGGAAGGAAATCTGGAGTTAGTACATAAGCATTTTGAATTGAGGTCTTTAACGCTACCCATTAAAAAAAAGACACCTAGTTCTATTATCAGATCACTAAAATAACCTCACCTTAATTTCCATTCTTAGCTTCAATTTCTCAGCAGAAATGTTTGGACTCTCTTTTTCCACACCACCAGATCATGACCCACTTCATTGACTCCCGAATAGAGACTTTTTAATTTCTTGCTCTTCACTTATCAATTAAAAATAAAACAAAGAGGTTAGTTGCAAATTCCAATTTATTTAGAACAGCTGGTTATTGGTTCCCCCTTTGAGCCAAACATTGCATTCGCATTCAGTCTCATCAAAATCTTCAATTTTTTGTATTCCCCCTCAAAACTCATCTCAGATCCAGCTTTTGCTTCATCTAATTTCATCACCGAACATCAAGGAAAAGTATTAGAGCTGAAAAAATTGTAAATAATTCAAACACACAGTAAGCCTCGGTGTGTGGAAACACATTTCTTCTGTACCTAAATCCTAAGAGAAATGCACTGCTCACTGATTAAAAAGCAAGTGACTGCAGTTGCTTCCCTGAGCAGTTGCCACTTGTGGATTTACCAAACAGTTCCTCTTTAATCATGCAAAGAATCATTGAGATGAAAGATCAACTCTCCCATGTTTTCCAATCAATCCCAACAATTTAAAGTTTTTTAAGTAACATTTTTAATGCCGAAATGCTTTTGTACAGCATGGCATTAGTGCACAGCTGAGTTTTGAGACTACCTCCAAGTAAACCAATTATAGCATAATATTGAGAAGTAGGTCTAAGCTGTCTTAAAGGATTCTCTCTCACTTCTGACAGCTTTTCTAGGTATCTTGATACTTGTTTGACCCACTGTGGTCAACTGTGATTAGAAAGCCATAAATTGTAAATGAGGAGTAGGTGGACAACACAATTTATCTTTCTCAACAAAATTAGTAACTTGTATACGGCCTGAAAATAACACCATTCATCCACCAACTCTCCAACTGCGCTTGTTTGATCAACGCTGCTAAATTTATTTTGGTCAGCTGGGTGTCTGACACATGCAGAAACCCATCACCGTGCTTAAGAGTATCCAAACCAAACTGAGATTTCCAGGTAGCCCACCTACACATGGAAATCCCAGAGATAGATTGTTGGAATGGAATACCCACCCCATCGTTTTTGTGAAGATCTTCAGATGGTTAAACCAAGTGGAAAGCACCAGTTAAGTGCAAATTGTTGTTTTTGTTGTATGGCTACAATAATTCTGTCATTGGTTTGTCCTCGGGCAGGGGTATAACTGCTCTATACAAGAGCATCATTAGGAAAAAGAATGTGATCACTCAGACAATGTTTGACTGCCTGCTTGTCATTAGGTCTTGGATGAGCAGCAACTTTCTGTAAGTAAATGTAATTTTATTTGGTTGCCAGAACCCAAGTGCATCTGGCTCCAATTCCATCAACATTTCTGGCTACTCTCTCAGGCTCAACCAGGTGGATGCACAACAGTAGCATTCTGCATGACCCTGAGCTGAGTTTCAAATCCCACATCTAGTGCATCTTCAAGACCATTTTGTCCACCTCTGGAATGTTACCTCTATCCCCACCCCTGTAATGTTACCTCCACCTCCGGAATGTTACCCCCCACCTCGGAATGCTGCCTCCTTAAACCATTTCCTCACCGCACTGCTGCCCAAACCTTTCTTTTGTGCTTTTGCCATCAGTAGGGTAGATGTTTCCAATGCTCTCTGCACTCACCTCTCCAGCTCCATTCTCCAATACCTAATCTTTGTCCTAATCTTAGATTTCTCCAGGCTTATTTCACCCTGTAATCTTCTCCAGTTCATGCCCTCTGTTCCTCAGACTCTGCTCTATTGCTTATTCTCCACTTGCCTTACTCTACTGGACAAGTATTAAGCCACCAAAGTACCAATATAGACGCTTTGCACACCACAGCTGTATGCTGAACTTGGTCCTAGACACTAATGATACTCAGGAGCTCTCTTACAATCATTGCTTTACTTTGCTACCTCTCACTCTTCCTTGAAAAAACACATCTCTCACTGATCAACAACTTTAAACCTCAATTAAGTAATGCCTCAGTGACAATCAGTGCATTTGTCTGAGATGTCCTTTTACATGAAAGGCACCATGTAAGTGCAAGTTGTTGCTCTTTACAACAGTACCATGGGCAGCAAGCTCAACCCAGCTTGAAACTGTCATCAGTCATGAGTTGACCGTTTGATCTGAAGCCAAATTAGCAGCTGCTCAGCAGGTTATTATGGCTGAGGTGTTCCAACAGCTTCACTACGGTGCCACTATTGGCATTGGGGTAGCTGGCTTGCCAGAATTGCCCCATGGTCTTGCTCTACACTCCTGTTGAGAATGCCTTCAACCTGATGAAGCCAAACACTCCCTTCGTTCAGCAAGCACCAGCCTTCTTCATGTCTCACCGCCCTCTCCGTCCCACCATTAGAGGGCAGGCTTTCAGCCATTCTGCTTCTTTCTCTGTAACTCCATCTTTTCAGCGCCTTGGAACGTCCTCCCGACGTGAAAGGCGCTCTATAAATGGAATCTTGTTGTTGTTGTTGTTGTTGAAGTCCTTAAAACTCATTCGCTCCCTTCCCTCATTCAAGGTCTGTCTCAAGACGTACCTCTTTGACCTCGCTTTCAGTCATCCTTCCCCTCCCTACGCACTTTGGCTCCCACCCCCAGCTTGAGTGCCCAGCCAGCAGTGAGATGTCCTTCCGACGTGAAAGGCACTACATGAAGGCAACTTGCATTGTAAATGGTATTGAATTATTATTTGATCTCTACTTGTATACCAGTTATTGCTTTTCACTTGCAAATGGAATACACTGATACAACCGGCACCTAAAGGAAATTCCCAGATATGTTTCTCCTTGGGCTGTTATACACTGAGCAAATAAGCCAGCAGGTAATTTAAGCTTAACAGCCGAAATGCAAATAAAACAGATGATGCCAATTTGAGCT